GTGGATTTCGATCCGTTTTGTGTGTTTCTGTGTTTCAAGGTTCGTTGCTTGTGATCGTAATTATGATTGACGGCAGCGAAAAACGCAATTGTGAAGGCGGTTTTTGAACTTTAGAGTTCGCATGTTTGTGAAAAGCGCAGTAAATAACGGCTAAGTTTAGCTGTATCCTTATATTTACGGGAAATATTTAGCCGTTAATTAACGGCTAAAAATGCATGATACTTATATAGTGGGAAAAACTTAGCCGTGAAATAACGACTAATTTTAGCTGTTTGTTCATATATAGTTGAAGTATTTAGCCATTAAATAACGGCTAAAAACGCATGACACCTATATAGTGGGAAATGGTTAGCCGTTAAATAACGGCTAAGTTTAGCTGTCTCCTAATATATATGGGAGATATTTAGCCATTAATTAACGGCTAAAAATGCATGACACTTATATAGTGGGAAATGGTTAGCGGTTAATTAACGGCTAAAAATGTATGATACTTATATAGTGGGAAATGGTTAGCCGTTAAATAACGGCTAAGTTTAGCTGTCTCCTAATATATATGGGAAATATTTAGCCGTTAATTAACGGCTAAACATTTATGATACTTATATAGTGGGAAATGGTTAGCTGTTAAATAACGGCTAAGTTTAGCTGTTTCTAATATATAGTTAAACGTGGCGGTCCACCGTCATTACAAAAGAACAACGGAAGTAAGAAATATATACATGGTTTATCATGGTTTATTAAGTAGCCTCTTCGACGCCTCCCTTTACCGACTCTTAAACATCCTCCACTGACTCTTGGATTTTCCTCCTCTGCTAATTCTTGGATATCCTCTTCGTCCGATTTATCAGCAGAGTCCTCGTTCGAGCTTCTACTACCACCTGCAAGGTACGCGTAATGTTTTATTACTAACGCCTTTTTCAAGCAGCCATAGCAGAAGGACCTGATGAAGACGCCTGGCCAATTTCCCGGTTAACTCAGCATTGATGGTTGCAATGCTTGTAAAACTGTTGTTAGTTTTGATTGCATAAAACACCTCTCCAGCTACTTCTCTTAAGGTGAGTTTTTCGAGAAGCAAGTATGCCCTCTGTTATAAACGCTTCTCCTTTAATTTTTTTCACCTTTCTTTTGTTCTTCTTAGCCTCGATCCCATTATCTCGCGGAGACCCTTTATAAGAGGGTGTAACCTTTTGTTAATCCTCTCGGTCTGAAAGCTGACATCAAGCCGAATCTTCGATAGCTGACCCGCTTATTCTTTGAACAAGCAGCTCTCCTTGGGAATTCACCACAACAAACGTTAAGTATATCTCATTTACTTCGTGTTTTCAACTGTTTGCCGTTATGGATAATACCGCCAACATTCTCATTCTTGGTCATTCATTTGTGAGGCGTTTACAGACATTCCTCACCGAACATCACGATAGGCGTGCCGCTCACAACATGAACTTGCCTCACGAAAATATATCTTTTCTAGGCATCGGCGGTAGAACCGTCTCTAAAATACTGTCCTTTGATTTGGACAAAATTAAGGCCTTTCAGCCAAAGGTTATCATTTTAGAACTGGGAACTAATGATTTGTGTGTAGAGGGGCAGCGCCCCGAATCTGTTGGTTCAGATATTGAACATTTAGTTCAAGTCCTCCATGATCACTGTGGAGCAGACTTTATAATGGTATGCCTAGTCATTTACCGGTCTGCTATTCCTCCACACGTTCCCGATTTCAGCCACAAAGTAGACCTTCTCAATAAATATCTCAAAGTGGTCCTCGAACCACTCCCTTATGCTGAAGCGTGGAGCCATAGAGGGCTTCAAAGCCCATCTATTGCTGTTTTATGCCGAGATGGCGTTCATTTGAACGCAGCGGGTAACTATGCTCTTTATCGTAGCTATAGGGGAGCCATTCTATTCGCCTTGAAGAAGTTAGCCACTTTTTCTGAGGCTCAGTGACAGATTCCAACTTGTCTATCCAGTCATGCATTCTACTTTCGTTATAACCGTCCTTTATGGCGGACAGGAGAGCTTTATCTTTTGTTATAAGATATTGTATTTATTTTACGGACCGGTTCCTCTTTCCGGCGCTTTAGCATGTTCAATGCGGCGTCTCCAATTTGGAAATTGCCAAACATGCTGCCGATTTTTCTTTTATTGCCGGTTCCGTTTTTTCTCTCTCCAATTTATAATTTGAGCAGAATGCTACTGGATTGGAAACCCCCCACCTCCCTCCCCACTCACTCTTTCACTATTTTATCTCCCATACCAACGCCTTAGGCTTATTTATTCAAGTTCCTTTGCTTGCGGTCTAGATTTGCTTGAAATTAAACCATATTTCACGATGATGACTAGAGGAAAGCGAAGTTCTACTGCAACAGCCTCCAGCACACAAGTTAAACGCCCGAGGGCCATGGCCAGCAGTACATCTCGCCCAACCAAGTCCAAGAGGCCCAAGCAGACCTCTCGAGTACACGCGGCTCCTGCTCTCAACCCGCCCGAAGTGCCGCACCCAAGCGAACTTTCCCGAGAGCCGGCGATCAGTGGGCCATCCTCAGTCTCAAGTCCCGCGGCCTCGAGTTCAGTGGTCTGTCAGAATATGGTTTCAAGCATCACGAGTGCTATTTCTTCGGCTGTACTTGAAAGCCTGAAGTCCGCAGGAATAATCCCTCAAGAGCCAGTACAGACATCCGACCCTGCTGCTGCTGTACAGGGGTCAGTAGCGCAGGTTGTTCAAGACCTAACTGGTGAGGGCCACACTTTAACTTCTACCTCCATTACTAGCGGGCCAGAGACCGACCACAGGCCCGATAAAATCCATACCTTAATTTCCGTTCCACTCTCGAGTAGAGTTCCGGACAAAACTCAATCTAAAATATGGGCAAACGAATATATCGATCTCGGAACTCTTCTATCGTCCTTGCCAGGCGATCCCAAATACAACTTCACGGTAAAATCATCTGGATCCAACCAGCCTGTGGTCAGTCTCGAACCCGTCCAAAACTCTAAGCGCATTACTAGCATCGATCAATGGACTACCGCATTTCAGGTTTTTGTTGCCGTCTATACCATCCGATTTCCGGACAGCGCTCCCGGATTAATGAAATATAGTGCAACAGTGCGCGATCTGGCGGCAAAAAACGCTCATTGGCGTTATTATGATGAAAATTTTCGCTATTTACGTCAAAAATCTCTTTTCCCTTGAGACGAAGTGCATTGGGAATTGTGGTTGCAGGCGCACCACATGACCAAACTTTCATCCTCAAACAATCCGCCTAACTCGTTTAACCGGCAATCAAAGCAGCCCTTTCCGCGAGGATTCTGCTGGAAATTCCACCAAGGTGAAAGATGTTTTGGGTGTAATTACAAACACGCCTGCTTTAAATGTGGAGGCGATCACCCTGCCACAAAATGCAAGTCGGGAAAACCAACTGTCGCCACCTCTCGCACTGTCGCATCCAGTCCAACTACCAACACCAGTCAAAATAAATAGATTACATTTTTACCTAGATGGCTATCCAACTAAGTTAAAAGACTATCTTTTAAATGGATTTCAACATGGGTTTTTATTGGCTTATGTAGGGCCCCACAAACCCTCCAGTTGCAAAAATCTTCTATCCGCTACTCAAAACCCTGCAGCCGTTTCCGATAAACTGTCAAAAGAATTAAGTCTAGGTCGGATTGCAGGGCCATTTTTAGAACGACCTTTTCCTTCATTACGCATTTCTCCGCTTGGTTTAATTCCTAAAAAGACGCCAGGAGAATTTCGCCTTATTCACCACCTATCTTTTCCTTACGGTGATTCTATTAACTCTTGTATTCCTAACGATGCCTCTACGGTTAAATATGCCTCGATTGACGATGCGGTTAGACTTATCAGGCGCACAGGCAGGGGCTGTGCCCTAGCTAAGACAGATGTCAAAAACGCTTTTCGTCTAATTCCAATAAATCCATGTGACTATGATTTGTTAGGTTTTTGTTGGGAGGACAGCTTCTATTTTGATAAATGCCTGCCGATGGGAGCCAGTTCCTCTTGCAAAATTTGGGAAAGCTTTTCAACCGCTCTCGAGTGGATTGCTAAGTCTAAGTTAGCTATCTCAGGTGTTTTACACCTTTTAGATGATTTCCTTCTCATAGACAAAACTTTCTCAGTTTGTGAACAAAATCTGTCTAGGTTTTTAGCGATGTGTGACGACTTGGGTGTCCCCATGGCGCCTGAAAAGACAATGGGTCCCAGTAGTGTTTTATGTTTCGCCGGAATAGAACTAGACACTGACAAAATGGAGGCTCGCCTCCCAGAAGAAAAACTAAGAAAATGTGTTACTCTTATTTATGAATTTCTCCAGCGTAAAAAAGTCTCCCTTAAGGAGATGCAATCCCTTATTGGTCTTCTGAACTTCACTTGTTCAGTCGTTATACCCGGCAGGACCTTTCTTAGACGAATGATTAATTTGACAGTTGGGGTGAATCGCCCGACTCATTTAATTAGATTAACGCGTATAGTCAAGGACGATCTTAAGCTCTGGTTAGAATTTTTAACACAATTCAATGGCAAATCATTCTTCTTAGACTTTCAATGGCTTTCATCACCTCACTTGCATCTTTATACTGATGCTTCTGGCTCTCTAGGCTATGGAGCGGTGTTTCGTCAGAATTGGTTTTACGGTCCGTGGCCCCCATCCTGGACCTCTAAGAATATTATTGTGCTAGAAATGTTTCCTATTGTTCTCAGTATAAAAATATGGGGTACTCAGCTGGCGAACAAATGCATAACCTTTCACACCGACAATCAAGCCTTGTCAGAAGTAATTAATAAAAAGACGACTAAAGATAGGGAGCTGTTGGTTCTTCTTCGCGCCTTGGTTCTATCATGTTTGCAGAATAATATCTTATTTAAAGCTGTACACCTCCCAGGCGTTCATAACACGAAAGCTGATGCTTTATCGCGTTTACAGGTGACCAAATTCAAGTCCCTGTCCAAGGACATGGCGCCAGAACCAACAGCTGTGCCTCCCCAACTGTTACCAGAGAACTGGCAGTTATAACAAAAACTCTTTTAGAGGCAAGCTTGAGTAACGCTTCTGTTTCAGTTTATAAACGACCTTGGAAGTTATTTACAGATTGGTCGGCTTCTTATTTAGGTGATATGCCTATTAATTTGCCTCTTCAACCGGCCATACTGGCCCTTTTTATCGCGCATCTATACTCTAGGAGTTATTCTTCTTCGTCAGTAACCACTTACATTTCTGCTATTAGTTACGCCATAAACTTGCTGGTGTCGCTGATCCTACTGAGACGCCACTTATTATACAAATTTTAAAGGGTTATCGGAAACTAACACCCGTCAATGATGTCAGGTTACCTATAACTTTACCAGTATTACGGAACTTAATTAGAGCTTTCGAGCATTCCCTTTCATCACATTACCAGTCTCGTCTCATGTCTGCCATGTGTGCTTTGGCATTTTTCGCTTTTCTCCGCATTGGGGAGTTAACAGCCTCTCGAGGCAACACTACCAATATCATTAATCTTTCGCAACTAGACCGACTGGTTGATGCTCAGGGCCGAATTCAGGCACTGCAACTTACCTTGCATAACTACAAGCATAAGAATTCTGGGCCACCTTTTGTTATTTTCATCTATCCTGAAAGGTCATGCTGTCCAGTTCAGTTGATCTTAAACTTTTTAGCTGTACGAGGGTCGGTATCCGGCCCTCTTTTTTGTTGGCCCGACGGAAGTCCGATTACTAGATCCTATTTTGTTGAGCGACTTAACGCAGCACTTACATTTTGTAACTTAGACACAAAGCTATATAAAGCGCACAGTTTTCGCATTGGCGCTGCCAGCTGGGCATCTGCCAAGGGGTTTTCAGACTCCCAAATTCGCTTGCTAGGTCGCTGGCAATCCAGCGCTTTTCTTCGTTATATTAGAACTCCGAGTTTAGGAACAACTTTAGATACTAGTACTTGAAGACACAAACAGGCGTTGTGTTTTCGTCCTCCTTTTCGCAAACAGCCTTCGGGTGGGGCTGGGCCGCTTAGGAGCGACCCGTGGCCTTTTTCTTCTGGCCCTCACCTTTGCTAGACCTATAAATTCGTAAACATTATTTCATATTTTAACATTGATAAGATCATTTTACAGATTTCAATAAAACCGGCCATTAACTTGGCCATGTTTTTTAATCCCAGACCACAGTCTCGGTTTTCTTTGTTTCTAAGTTAGGCGTCTAGCAAACAAAGCTCGGCTGTTGGCAGTAAAGGGGGGTTTATTGTTAGTGTTTCAGTAAACCGGGGAGGAGACATAAATAACGGCTAAGTTTAGCTGTCTCTTTTTATGTATTTGAAGTATTTAGCCGTTAATTAACGGCTAAAAACGCATGACACTTATATAGTGGGAAATGGTTAGCCGTTAAATAACGGCTGTCTCCTTATATATATGGGAAATATGTAGCCGTTAATTAACGGCTAAAAATGCGTGACACTTATATAGTGGGAAAAACTTAGCCGTTACTGCGCTTTTCACAAACATGCGAATTCTGAAGTTCAAGAGCCAACTGGCGATTGCGTTTTTCGCTGCCGTCAATCATCTTAACGGACCTCTTAGGAAACAAAACTTTACTTTAACGGGTTTAAAAGGTCAAGGTTTGTGATTTGTGGTCGGTGGATTTCGATCCGTTTTGTGTGTTTCTGTGTTTCAAGGTTCGTTGCTTGTGATCGTAATTATGATTGACGGCAGCGAAAAACGCAATTGTGAAGGCGGTTTTTGAACTTTAGAGTTCGCATGTTTGTGAAAAGCGCAGTAAATAACGGCTAAGTTTAGCTGTATCCTTATATTTACGGGAAATATTTAGCCGTTAATTAACGGCTAAAAATGCATGATACTTATATAGTGGGAAAAACTTAGCCGTGAAATAACGACTAATTTTAGCTGTTTGTTCATATATAGTTGAAGTATTTAGCCATTAAATAACGGCTAAAAACGCATGACACCTATATAGTGGGAAATGGTTAGCCGTTAAATAACGGCTAAGTTTAGCTGTCTCCTAATATATATGGGAGATATTTAGCCATTAATTAACGGCTAAAAATGCATGACACTTATATAGTGGGAAATGGTTAGCGGTTAATTAACGGCTAAAAATGTATGATACTTATATAGTGGGAAATGGTTAGCCGTTAAATAACGGCTAAGTTTAGCTGTCTCCTAATATATATGGGAAATATTTAGCCGTTAATTAACGGCTAAACATTTATGATACTTATATAGTGGGAAATGGTTAGCTGTTAAATAACGGCTAAGTTTAGCTGTTTCTAATATATAGTTAAACGTGGCGGTCCACCGTCATTACAAAAGAACAACGGAAGTAAGAAATATATACATGGTTTATCATGGTTTATTAAGTAGCCTCTTCGACGCCTCCCTTTACCGACTCTTAAACATCCTCCACTGACTCTTGGATTTTCCTCCTCTGCTAATTCTTGGATATCCTCTTCGTCCGATTTATCAGCAGAGTCCTCGTTCGAGCTTCTACTACCACCTGCAAGGTACGCGTAATGTTTTATTACTAACGCCTTTTTCAAGCAGCCATAGCAGAAGGACCTGATGAAGACGCCTGGCCAATTTCCCGGTTAACTCAGCATTGATGGTTGCAATGCTTGTAAAACTGTTGTTAGTTTTGATTGCATAAAACACCTCTCCAGCTACTTCTCTTAAGGTGAGTTTTTCGAGAAGCAAGTATGCCCTCTGTTATAAACGCTTCTCCTTTAATTTTTTTCACCTTTCTTTTGTTCTCTTTTTTTGTCTGCGATTGTCGATCTTCCCAATGCGAGATGGAAACCTCCTTTTCAGGTTTATTAGGGTTGCTGCCAGCTTATTTGAGGCTTCTTAAAGTTTTTTTTAGAGCATTTCTATAAAGGATCTCTCGCTTGCTGTTGATGACTGATGAGAAATCTGCTGAGGATTTCAAGGTGTCATTTATAGTGGTGAAGCAGGAATCACACTTGACAACATCATCTGAGTGTCCTAAAAATTTTGCCCTATGTAACGGAATCCCGAAAATTTTTTGGCATGTGGAATCCGGAATCCCGGGACTTGGATTCCGGAAAACAGCTGTAGGAAGCTTTACTGAAAAAGATCTGGAATCCAGTAATTGGATTCCGGAATCCACGGCGTGGAATCTAGAATCCAAGACTCTCTTGGATTCCCTTATATGGGGTGAGAAATTCAATTTTCCTCTACAGGAGCTCAGTTTCATGAAGTAGACTTCGAACCTCATTAGAAATAAAACGCAAACTGCGGTGCGAGCATGAAGCTAAACAAGCGTATAGCTAAATTTCATTCACTGACTTAACTTTTCGTATGCCTCAACATACAATTAACCGTAAGTTTAAAATTTTGAAATATACAATAACAGTAATTGAGTAGCTAATGAGATAATATTGACAAAAACAAAGGAGGTAATACAATACCGCAACTAAATAAAGAAAAAAGTAA